TTTCATTAAAACCCAGGTGATGAGGTTCTGGCTGAAGGCTGGTTATTCTGTCTTGCAAAGGTTGGGGGCTCATGCACGGGCACGATTTACGGATGCAACGGTGTCATCAAGCAAAAACGGGGAGGTTTTTCCACTGATTTTTACAACGGCCGGCCACATATGTGTCCTTTACGCTACGACGACTTTCAATAGAAGTCAAATGCATCTCTCGGACGCGGCTGATAGGCGCCAGAGATATAATCTTTTGTCCATCTGCCTCGCCAGACTCAGCCAAAAAATTTTCACACTTTCCAGAAATATGGATGATACACCATTTGAAATCATTGTTCTCAGTAATGTATATTTCTTTGAATGGGAATATAATTGAAAAATATCTCGCGATGTTTTCACGTACCATTAACGGGTCACACTGCGAAATTGTTGACGTGAAAACATCGCCGTTGGTGAAGAAAACGAGAAGCTGCGTAAAACTTTCTAGCTAGCTAGCTAAATTTTCTAGCTTGAGTTCAATTCCAGAATTATCATTTTTTAAACGGGACGAGTTTAAGAAGATGACGCCTTTCGAACTAGCTTTCATTTGCAGCGTAGCACTCCGTCTCCTTGGCTGACTGACTGCATTTTCAACAAATGCGCTTCCTTTTAGATTTATAGTGCAATGTTTAGTATTTCGCAGTGAAAGTTCGAAATTATTGTTTCACTTTCGTCAATCTGGTCGTTCCCTTGAAGGATCACTTCTGCAGTGACGAACGAGTGATAGAATGATACCAAGGACAGAGGAACAAGACTTTAGGCCTCTGCAGGGTCGCTAGATACCCCTTCTTATCCTTTCTTTTCTTTCAGCATTTCGCCAGTACTCACCAAAAGAGACCTCGAACTGCGATAACGATTTTCTATTTCTACGATAAGTCTTTTTACTTTTTGGTTTCCATGTTGTGAAATCTTTGGGATTTGCTCTGACATCTTCATTGCGAAACATGGGTTAGTGCAGGTCAATGCGCTCATCACACCATATCCGCCGCAGCATTTCGCAACGGTCATGGCTGAAACAGCCGCTCTCGACTCAAAGCGAGTTAGACTGCTTCTACATTATGAGTTTAGAAGAAACGTCAGATAAGTGATGCGATGGAGTCCTTCACTGTCTCCTACAACACGTCGAAAAATTAAAACCACAAGTTTGAAAATGGTCACTTCAACCTGACCGAAGAACCACGATTAGGGAGACCAGTTGAGCTGAATGACTACCCCTTCTGAAGCTGGTTGAGAGGATTCCAGACTTAGTACCCGCGAGCTGCCACAGTAGCTAATAGCCATCACAAGACAGTAGCTGCCCACTTGCATCGCCTCGGAAAGACATGGAGATATGGAGTAAGGATACCTCATCAGCTGAGTGGATGAGTGGAAAAGGTACAAAGACCTATGCGCCAACCTAGTACTTCCTTGACTCTGCAGTCTCACTGTTAATCCGCCTTGTTATAGACCTCTACCCTTCCAGGAGATCGAGATGGAGGCCAGATCAATGGTTTCTTATTCACATTCTCATTGAACGTGTTAGTATTATTCTTCGCCTTCATCAGTTTGCTTTACGAACAAGATTAGTGGTCAACACACACATACATGCATTGCCTATTTATTGAGATTCAAATAAAACAAGAATATATAAAGGCTTTTTGTAAAGGCAGGTAGCGGAAATATCGTCGAACACGAACAAGGCTGGTAGACGGTCATTGAGCACGGTAATCTGAGAAGGAACGATTAAAAGTAAGACTGCTGAGAGGCTAAGGTGTTTTTTAGTGATTTTACTCATTGTTGCGTTAAATATTTATTGAGAATTCAGATGAATTATGACTATATCAAGGCTTTTTGTAAAGACAGGCAGCGGAAATGACTTCCTTGTTCCCCTTCCCGTCGATGAAGCCGTTGCATCCATAGATGGTTCCCGCGGGAAGACGTTCAAGCTTAACAAAATCCAATTGTCAACCATCGATCAAACGCTCATTATACATCGATTGAATTTCAGAGGAAACGATTTCTAACAAGATCGGAAAGCTCTTAACCCACAGCTTTTTCTTTTTTGTCGAAGCGGGGCTCAAGGAACGCCAGCAATTTCTGCCACAGTAATTGTGTATCATCCGCGGGGAATGATCTGAAAGTGTAGGATGCTTGAACAAAAAA